TGCCAAGCTATATTTTCCAAAATCCAATCTGCCTTATGCCTTTCCGCCAAACTTTTATTTTCTGAATAAGCAATATCGTGATCTTTACATGCAGCGTCTAAGGGGTTTATACCAGTATCACCCCTTTGAATTCACTTATCTAATTTAGTACCTGGCCCACAAAATTGGTAAGAGGGTACGTGAAGCTCAAAGGGTAGGTTGTTAATTACCGAATTTAATAAACCACTACCTTTATGCTTAAAAGTCAACATTGAAATGATTTTTTTTATTAAAGTTAAGCTTTTATAATTATCAATTAAAGTATGTTAAAACGGTTGTTAATATGTTTTTTAATTGATTTAAAATTGTACCGATCGGTACACAAAAATATTAAAAAAATTTAATTTTAATAAAAAGGTCGGACGGAAGACTGAACACCTAATTGTGAAAAAGGCCTCTGGATTAAAAATAGACTTGTTAGGACAAGTCGGATGACGTCAGCAATTCAAAATGGCGTCAAAAATGAAATTTATATTAATAATTCAAAATATATCCTTATCTCCAAAAAATTGACGTCACATTTTAAAATGGCGTTAAAAATTAAATTTATATTATTAATAATAAATCCTTATCTCCAAATAGCGGATGCCAGGTGACCAAACCACTGTTAAGTCACGCCCATCCCCTTATCACTAGTTTCCATTCCCTTATCTCTAGTTCGAAATTTTTGTATCGCTTATCTATAGGTGGCGCCACCTTCGGAAAACAGCGCTACCAACCCAACGCGTTACGTCACCTGTCTGGGTCACTTCCGCTGCAGAACTCTCTTTGTATCTCTACTAATTACTAATCGAACCGTAAAAAACAATCAAATCAATGCAAGTCCAAAATTTACCTATTAATCATGCCCAGAAAAATTCCTTCAACCATCAAATGTGCTGCAAATGATGCATATATGCCTGCATACGTGCGGATTACAATCACGTGGTGACTGCAATATGCGTCAATGGTATAAGTTTTGTTTTCCCCTAGGCTGGGAGGCTGGGGCGAAAATTAAAAAACTTGTCTCGGGCGCCAAAAAAGCGACTACGACTCTGTAGCTAACTATGCTACGCGGAATTAAAGAGTTTAATTATTAAACACACAGTACCAAATCTGACAACATCGACGGACGCTCAGGCACAGTGCGCCTCTGTAAAGTTTTAGTTGTTAATTATAGTGGACCATCCCCTCATTACATACCACTAGTCACCTAAATCGCAGCTGATCCTTCTTGAACGATTTTTAGCTCTTTAGATTTTTTTTTAAGTATTTTTATAAAATTGAATTAAATGGAGACCAAATCGGTTTATTGTATTTATATGTATCGGTTTATACTTGTAAATTATAATAAGAAAATTAACAAAATCAAAATATATCAAATTTATTACACTTAAAATAATAAAACAAAATAAAATAAAATTAAACTTTAAAACATCTTCAAACAAGAGCAAAAATTCTTTATAAAACTTGTAAAAAAATAAATTATATTCTTGTTGAAGAAAACTCGGCCACTGCTCTTAAAAGTAATTGTCCGTATCGCAGGTCATTAATATCATTGATTTTGTATTTCTTCCAAATTAACAAAATTCTCGATGAACAGACTCACCAGCTTGTTCCGACCACAGACTCAACCCAGTTTTCAAAAATTAAACCGTTTCTACAAGATGCTCCAAAATCACATGTATTTTGAGGGTCTGCGAGACCTGTGCCTTTTAAAACTGCTTTCAAAAGTGTAACGTCAGCCTTCAGTTTACTTAAGGTACAAAGCAGCTCTGAACCAAAACACTTTTCAACACGATTCATTGTTTTGAAAGCCACAACAAAGGGTATAACATAAACTTCTTCCAGGTTGACTAATATTTCTTTTGACTTTTAATCTTCTGCATTTTTCAACAACTTTCTGCAGGCATTCCCTTTAAAAAGTTCTCCTTGATAATTTTTCTTAACCAAGTGTAGCTTTTTAGGCCATTTTAATGGGTTTTCTTTGCCTTTAAAAAATAAATGATTAACAAATCCTTGCAAAAGATGAAGTTCCGGATTAATACATTTCTTGATGATTTTAACGTCATCTTCTTCTTTCAAAATGGCTTTATTTATAGTACTAAAAGATTCATTTCCACGTTTTAAGTTTTTTTCAAAAATTAAGTCAAATTTATTAAAATGTAGTGTATTATCGCCATAGGAGCGCAACTCTTTGTGATATTCACTGTATGATCGAAATTCTTTTAACGAAATGTAGCAATAAGGACATGGGTAGGACGATGTTGCTGCCTGTAAGCCATTAACCATTAGAATTATTTTAAAGTCAGAACGAAATTTAAAGGATATTTTGTTTATTTTTACCAAGTCAAAAAGTTAAGATTTTCGTATGTTTCTTTGATGTCAGGAACCATACAGAGGATGATCAGTCTCTTAACACCTGTAAGTTTTCCTTTTTTTTGCAGCGTTACCTCCATCTGAATACCTCGAACGCAATGAAATTTCATTATCTTTATTTTCTGGATCTTATGGAAATATGGACAGACATATTTTAAAAAAATGTTGGCCTCCATCGCACAAAACCTTAACATTTGGTGTGCCAAACTCTGTCTCCTTTCTAAAATTTCGTTTACTAGGTCACTTGCATCTTGTTTCTTAGTTTTTGTTTTATGCATATGCATATGGCCCTTATATCGTGCAATTGAACAAATCAAACAATTGCAGTTGGACTGATTGGAATTTCTGGTACTTTTCAAAACCATGCTTTTTTCAAAATTTGGCATTATCGGAAGTTTTTTCTTAAAATTGCCATTTTTTCTTTTGGTCAGTACAAGACGACACTTTACACAAATTGACACTGGATACTTGTTATTTAGAATGTTATACTTTGGGTTTAAAAAATCACAAATATGTTTAGCTAACACGTCAGAAATAATAACAAATGACAAATTTTAATTGTATTAATTATTAAAAGTAGTTTTTTTATAATATCTTAATTTTTGATAAATTTTGTAAAATTTATTTGTTATTTGGTTATATTTGTAATGTGACAAACTTTCTTAAATAAAAAACCAGGAAATAACATGCCCCCATCGCCCTTCCAAAAAATAAACAAAACTTATTTATTCAATGTTTATTATATCTATGAATGGAATTTTTTTTGTAATTCCAAGTTAAAAGTGGATTGCATACTTTTTTGGGATTTGAGGTCGACATGGTATAGTCAAAATAATTTATGTTAGAAGTCTGCTAAAAATATACAAATGGTGATTATAATACTTAAATTTAATTTAATAAGGGGCAAATAAAATGCAATTAGGTAATCCTACATACTAGTAATTATTAGTTTTTTATTCCCAGACAATACAAAAACGGTTTTTGAAAAATAAAATGTAAAAACATTGTTTTAAAATAAGTATGTAAGTAGATAAAAATGGTGAGAGGAGCGAGCTAGATCAGATCACCTATATTAGAGATGTGCTAATAACGTCAATAATAAAAAAAGTACAAACAAGGACCAAATCTGCAAAACCAGGACAAAACCAGTACTACGTGGTGCGGGGTGTAGTATAAATAGATAGGTACTATATAAGTATTTTAAGGCAAAATATGTATTTTAATACAAAATTTATTATAAAATATAATTTATAGTGTTATTTTTGTAATTTTTTTTTGTTTTAATAAATATCACATGTCCATGTCAGATAATAAAGAATCTGTCCAGACCAGTTGCGGACTAAGGGGGGAGGGCGGTCCGCTCCGGGCCCCCGGTCCAGAAGGGCCCCCAAATCTGAAGTAGTCTTTCTCAGTCCAATAATTGAGCCGGCGGTTTTTTTTTTCGAAAAAAAAAACAGAAAAATTTGGAAATTTTTAGAAATTTTTTTATTATAACATAACTTTCGTTTAATTTAACACTTTGATTTATAAAATTATAATTTTGTAATTTGGAATTGGATATTTTGAATGGGCCCGTTTTTGCAAAGTGGACCCAACCGACAGTATATTAAACGTTTACGTTTATTTTCTTAAACAAATTTAATTAAATTCAATGTTCAGTTATATTTTTTTGTAAGGATATTAAAATAATATTAAATTGTTGATTGCTACTTTTTTTTTAAATGTATATATTTAAAAAAATACCAAAAAAGTTTTTTCCCAATTTTTCCGTTTTTTTCAAAACCTTAGTATAAATATAAATATTTTAGGACCCAGCTTTACAGAAAGAAAAACTGTAAGTAAAATTAATAAACTGCTGTCGTCAATTTTTTGTATATTAATATTATGTATTGGTGATTATTACAATGCTTTTTCATCATAGATTAATAACTAAGTACATTGAAACCATAAACTAGTCAACATCAAAAATTAATTATTTCCTTCATCAATATAATAATAAAAATTTATTGAATTAACTATTGACGATCATTAAACGTTCTTTATCTTTAAAACAATAAATTTTTCGTCATAGATCCATGAACAGCAAAACATAAATAGGTAATAATAAACTGTCTTCATTCATCATTCATCATCCCAACGCACAGAGAGGTATTTGGACCGAAAACATGGTCAAAAATATTTGAGCACTTTTTCTGCCTAAAAAGGGTAGGAAATGACTAAAAAACATATTTCTGAAGGTATACAAGTGATAGTAGGTATTTTTTTATTAAAAATAAAAATATGTGTGTTCAAAAATGTATTAAAAAATTACACAATAGCTACTTTACTTATGTGCAATTAACACAATAAAAATATTCAATTAAACATATATTAACTAACTATAATTAACTATAAAATATCAATAAATGCATTTATTATTTTATTTTTCATTATTCATCATCACTTCCTTTGAAAAATCCTTCCTATCTTTTTTATTTTTCGGCCTTAAACTGCTCAAATAAGGATCGGAAGTTAAAAGAAGTCGGTTTAGCACATCCTCATTGCATTGTGCCCTAGAGAACTTCCGAGAAAAACTATTCCTATATTCGCGGAAGTGCTTGTTCCTAGCTTCCGCTGCTTCTTCGGACAATTGGCCGATTGGCAGTAATGCATGGGCTATGACACTGGACACTGGACGGCATTAAAATTTTATGCACTGTAGGTGACATAGGTTGCCAGGGATACAAATTTACATAGTGATTTGCTGTATTCATCGTGAAGGTCGAGAATTTTTTGAGGTCTATATCAAATCCTGAAGATATTACTTCTAATATAACTTTAAAGTAAATAATTAATATTAAATCCACCCCTGTAATATCAGCTGCTTCTTGTGGGTTATTAAAAAATCTTCTTGACGAATTTCCATCATTGGTATTGCCGTACCCAGCTTTCGGAATGTCAACCAGTAAGCCCATTCTATCGTGAAATTCTTTTTGTACTGTTTCTTTGGCTGCTTGGATTTTTCCCCGGTCACTTTTCTCTTTGATACGACCCTTATAAACTTCTGCCTTTATTTTGTAAGAGAGATGCAGCAAAAATTCAAAAAACCTTATTCTAGCATGCAAAATTGACAGCCCGAATTTGAACGTCTCAGGATTCTCTGGGTTTGTGGACGTCAACTCGTTAAAACTTTTTGAAGTTTTACCACATATATAGCAGCGCAATGTTGATGAAGTGTTAGTGGCTGCGTTGCACACCTTTCCATCGACCATTGTTTGGAAGCAGTACATGATTTATTGTTATGTATTCGTTTACCCTCGTTGCTTGAAGATTTAGGGCCTGGTTTTCAATGTATTCTATTTCTTCATTCGTTATGTCTTTGTCTTCTTTTACATAACGTATCCGTATTGGCCTGCAATATCTTGGTGATGATGGCTGCATGTTCTGCCATATAATTTTATTTCCAGACATAAGTCGAAGGGGCACAATGGAACTTAAAAATATGTTTGCATCACTATTTCCGTCTTCCTCAAATTTTTGTTTGTATTGTGTTTGAGTGGATCCATCACACCCCCACTTATATATAAGCACTAAATCTGTGTCTGTACTCTGGATGGATTGTTGAAAAACAGGCTCTAAATATTTACACAATCGTGATGTTGTGTGATCCACCAAATCTTGGAGCTTCACCTCTGCAACAGTCTCGCTGACGTTTTTTGGTGGGTAACAATCTTGTTTGGCCCTCTGTACGTAGGTATAGCACGGATATACATCTTTGTTGGCCTGACGAATTACCTTATATTGACTAACAGTCAAATTAGCTTCGACGAATATGCCCAAAGCACCTTCAGGTGTATGTTTCTTGGTAGTCATGGTTTTACTACCAATGATAGCTGCTTTTCGGAACTTCGTAGCCCTGGTTGGACTTTTGGTCACATCTTGTATCACTTTTGCAACATCAATATTTCCTGCCGCTCTTTGAGTCATCTGGGCCGCGTATGTGAGTTCGTCAACTGTCCCAATATATCTAAGTTCCATTGTTTTACGACGCTTTGATCGGTCACTTGATTCCCCGAATTCTTTACTTGGGCGACCTTTGGAGCTGCCGGGAATTGAATCAGTAGGTATTTCAATTTCTTCATTAAGCCATTCTTCGTACTTTTCCAGGAAACGGGCTTCAATATAATTACACGCGAGCCATCTTCGTTTATAAACCACTTTGAACGCCTTGATGGTTCTTTGAAGTTCATCTATTTTTTCAGGAGGGCACTTTGTTATATCCAAAATTGTATTTTCTAAATCTTGCAGTTTTCCGTCAAGCGATCGTTGAGAGCTTTCCCTAACCAACTCATGCAGCTGTTTTCTGGTCATAAACATGACTGTATAATAATATAACAATTAACATCAAAATCGAAATAATTTAATCCAAGCGGTTGAACATTAGCTTATATGCATGTTTGTCAATTTTTTAGGTATAATATATTTGTTAATTTGAAGGTAAAAAAAATCATTATTCTTTATTTTATACCTATATAATACTCTAGTTAAGCCCTAATTAGGTATAGTATTTTTAATTGTTTCAAATTGTACTTACCATTAACCATGATTTTTTTACCTAATGACATATAATTTATTTACATTGTTAATTCATTTGAAAATCTATATAGGTACATTAATTCTTGCTTTTTTAATAAAAATCTTAATACTAAACTTGAAAAAAGTTGACGAAAACCAAGCCAAATATTCTTCTAATATATCCACCTACCTAAAAATTTTGTAAGACCGCACTAAAATGTCTGTTTTCAAATGTAAATTTTTAGCGGATGTGAAAACATGTGGATGACTTTGATGGCTGCAATTATTCTAGATATCCTAAAGTTTAATAAAATGTGTTGCAGATGCCGTTGCGAGTTGTTGCCGATATTTAAAAACACCATTGTTTGTTTAAGAAAACGAGAAAAATTAAGCATTTCTAGGTAGTTAATTATAGTACGCGATATAAATAAATAAAGTTTATAACACAAATGAAATATTGCCTAAAATATTGTACATACCTTAATTGGCGACATCCATATTAATTTCTTTCACCAAAATGTCTTTTAACATAAGAAACAACACGGCAAAAATTTGTTTTCTTGTGGAGTGTGGCGAACGAAGACCTAAGATGTAAAAGAGCGCTAGGTTCTAGCTGCTGGTACATCGGACTGGGATGGCCAATTCAAGTTTCAACTACACCAAAAGATAGCCATGTTATCTAACTTCTTTAAAACAAAATCTTAGATCTGGCAATAAAAATTAACAAAATTGATTGTTGGCCACGTTTTAGGTCCAAATACCTGTCTGGGCAACGGTCACTAAACATTGATTTTACGAACTTAACCATTAACTTCTTAAAACGCGCCAAAATTAATGCTACCGTACGCACAACGGGATGCACAACGTTGAACGTACGAAGAATAATACGAAAATAGGCATTAAATGCAAATTTATGTCGCTTGATCGCCGCGTGGCAACAAAACAGGTGGATAGCGCTGTTCTTATTGGACAATTCGTACGCGTTGGCTTGGTGAAAACCAGTAACGTTGCGGGCTAAACAAGAACCGTATGCTTGGTTTTTATATACACAAGGGATGAATAACGTACTAAATATATCTTATGGGCTTTACAACGTACCATAAATAAAGAGATCATTAAATTAACTTATATATTTACCCCTCTTGGTATTTCCTTAATTAAATTATGTTAACAAACACTTAGCAAAGATATATACTCGTCTTACCACGTTAGAAATGGTGGGTGGTAGAGCGCCCCAATAGTATCTCGGGCTAAACAACATACCAATTATACGTATATATACAGGGTGGCCGATTTATCTGAAGACATTGAAATATTTCGAAAACTACGCATCGGATCAAAAAAAGTTTTGAATAAAATTTGTTCGCCTGGAAGGGGGCCATCCAATGATACCAAACCCCCCTGGGGTGGGGGTGGGGCAACTTTAAAATTCTAAATAGGAACCCCCATTTTTTATTGCAGATTCAGATTTCCCATTAAAAAATAAGTAACTTTTATGGAAAAACTTTTTTTTAATTCCTGATAGATGGCGCTGTAATCGCAAGAAACCCGATTTTTGGGAATATCTTAAAAAATTACACATCGGATCGAAAAAAAGAAAAACTTGTTTAATTTTTGGATTTTATTCGTATATCAATAAGTTAACATCTATTTTTACCGTTACCCAAGAACAAGGACCAGGACGCAGTAGTTTTTTGTTCCCATCGGGGTGCTAGTTTTAAGAGAGTCCCCCTGCCTCTCACTGTTTAATAAATTAGATTAAATGTTCGAAATTGTGACCTTGAACTTCTAGACACTTATTTATTCTTTTTTCAAATGATTGTACACAGGAGAGGAGCATTTCTGCGGGAATTTCAGCACAAGCGTTTCTTATGCGCTGTATCATGTATTCCCGAGTTGTTGGTGCTTGTTGAAAAACCTTATCTTTTAGATAACCCCACAGAAAAAAATCCGGCGATGTCAAATCAGGTGACCTAGCAGGCCAATTAACCGGGCCACCTCTGCCGATCCATCGGCCATTAAAATCACGGTTTAATACTTCCCGTGCTGTTGCTGAGTAATGGGCTGGGCAACCGTCATGCTGAAACCACATAATTTGTCGAATGGGCAGGGCAACATCCTCAAGTAGAGGTGGTAGTTCATGTTCCAGGAAATTTCGATATTTGATTCCATTTAAGGTTCCATCAATGAAAAAAGAACCTAAAGTTTGTTACCTAAAATTCCACACCAAACGTTAACCGACCAGGGACGTTGATGTTCAACTTGTCGTAACCAGAAAATTTCTTCCTAGGTTGCAAGAATAAATAAGGTAAAAAGGTCAGTTTTCTGTGTTATTTAAGCGGCAAAACTTCAGATTCGATGGAGGACCTCTTAAAATTGAATTTATGAGCTCCGCTTTTAACAGAATATTTGTTCGGACATATTATACGATATTTTGGGTGGAGAGCAAGCAAAAAAAAATATCGAGTTTTTTTGGCACACCCTAATCTAGATACTTTTTGAAGGTAACTGTATCTATAACTAGTTACTGCAATAAAATATGTATCTGTATCTGTATCTAGTTACAAATTTTGGTAAGTAACTGTAACTGTAGCTAGGTACCTACATATGTACATACCTGGACGCATTAGTAAGGTATAAATATTTTTTATATGTACCAATATCAAAAGGAATTAATTAATTTAATTTATTTTGATTTCCCTAACAATTCTCGTATACACTAATTATATTTTTTAATGGGAAATCCGAATCTGCAATTTTTCAAGATATTCCCAAAAATAGGGTTTCTTGTGATTACAGCGCCATCTATCAGGAATTAAAAAAAAGGTTTTCCATAACTGTTACTTCTTTTTTAATGGGAAATCCGAATCTGCAATAAAAAATGGGGGTTCCTATTTAGAATTTTAAAGTTAACCCCCCCCCACCCCAGGGGGTGTTGGGGAGGGGTCGACTTTAGTATCATTGGATGGCCCCCTTCCAGGCGAACAAATTTTATTCAAAACTTTTTTTGATCCGATGCGTAGTTTTCGAAATATTTCAATGTCTTCAGATAAATCGGCCACCCTGTATATATATATATATATATATATATATATATATATATATATATATATATATATATGCATAGATATATATATATATATATTAGGGTGGCCCAAAAAAAAGAATATTTTTTTTCTTCTCGTCTCTTGTGAAAATATCTTGGTTTGTCATGTTTTAAGAGCCCTGTCAAAAGATCAGCACCATTAAAAAATTTTTTAGGGGTCCCTCAAGATTTTTAAAAATTACCAAAATCGTCAAATGGATTTTTTTTTATTTTAATTTTTTTTCTCGTTCCGATATTATTTTTTAATTTAAAAATAATAATGATTCTGAAAATTTCAAATCGATATTTTAATTTCTAAAGGTCACTCAAGATTTTTTTAACTTTCAGTTTCAGTTTCAGTAGAGTATTTTGAATGTTTTCGAGCGACCTCTGAATATAACTATAACTTTTAGCGACCTTTAGAAATCAAAATATTGATTTGAAATTTACAGAATTTTTATTATTTTCAACCTAAAAAATAATATCGAGACGAGAAAAAGAATTAAAATAAAACAAAAATTCAATTTTTGACGATTTTGAAATTTTTTAAAAATCTTGAGCGACCCCTACAAAATTTTTAATCGAGCTGATATTTTGAAAGGGCTCTTAAAACATGACAAACCAACATATTTTCACAAGAGACGAGAAGAAAAAAAATATTCTTTTTTTTGGGCCACCCTAATATATATATATATATATATATATATATATATAGATATAGATATGCAATCCTACATTACCAAGCCCGAAACGTTACATTCTACAGTATAAACGAAGCCCGAAATCGGGCTTCCTAAAATTAGCGTGTATAAATTTGTTTTAGAGTTAAGTGATGCCCCCTTGTTTCAATGGCGAAAAAGTGGTGGGCTTCCTAATGCCATTCAAACCTATCAAAATATACACCTTTAGTTCCAATGCTTTGGCGGTAGGGGGCACACGAGTCAAAGGAGATTATATACAGCTTTGTATAAGTATTACGCAGTATACGAAGCCCGTACATCTGGCAACATCACTCTCGATCACTTTTTGATAGGAAGGCGGGGAAAATAATGTGGGATTTTTAAATTTGTATCTACTGATTTTCAAAATAAATGGTATATTCCCAAAATTATGTTTTGTTCTCTACATGGCGTGGATTAAAAGGCAATGTTTTGTTAAATACTTTCGTAATACACTTAATTTTAAAGAATTATTTATTTTTGAAATATTATTTGGATTGCATTTTTCTTTGGGGCGGTTTTACAATTTGTCCAGATATTTTATATAGTTTTAATTGGGGAAACAAGGGTATTTGTATATATTATTATTATTATTATTATTATTATTATTATTATTATTATTATTATTATTATTATTATTATTATTATTATTATTATTATTATTATTATTATTATTATTATTATTATTATTATTATTATTATTATTATTATTATTATTATTATTATTATTATTATTATTATTATTCAATGTTACATTTAAATAATTTAAATAAAAATAATTTTTAATTTATTTGAAACATTTCCAATTTTAATAAAAATAATTTTTAATTTATTAAAAAATTTCCAATAGCGGTATGAAATAAATTAAAAATTATTTTTATTAAATATCATTTTAATGTAACATTGAATTGCAAAAACCGCTTTTTGACAGATAGCTTCTCATGGCAATTTGTCAATTAA